ATTGTAAGTAAATTTGATGTGTACTGTATTATTGTTGTTTTATGTATAACTTGAAACCTTGTGGAGGATAACCTTTTTTGAGTAAATTGTATGCTTCTTCACTAACAAATGGGTGGACATTGGGTTTGGAAGGAGGATAACCTTTTTTGGAGGAAAATTATAATATTATGCTTCTTCACCGACGAATGTGTAGGCATTGGGTATGCGAGGACTTCGTGGGCCTTTATTGCCACTATAATTTCAAGTTCTATGGTTTGATGGATAGATGATGTGTGTGTTTAGTATAATTACGTTTATATAATGCTCTCATAAGGTTGCTCTCGCCACTTGGTCGTATTGGGTGAAAAATAGACTTTTGATTTTGCAAGGCTGACCTTCAAACCAGAGGTTTTACAGAAATCATCTAAGACTTCTTTAATCATGTCACAATCTTTATCGAGCGATCTAGAGAAAAATATAATATCATCTGCAAAAAGGAGATGGGAGATTTCCTGCCATTTCTTGAAGCTTTAAGACCTCTCCATTTTTTCTGTTGAACTTTTTCTTTTATCATGATTTAGTTTCTCCATACAAAAAACAGAGAGTTAAGGTGAAAGAGGGTCACCTTGCCTGAGACCTCTTTTAAGTTTAATAGGTTCTAAAGGGGAACCATTCCAGAGAATGTTAAGGGTAGATCCAGTGACGCGGTTCATAATTTAATATACCCAGCTGGTGGGAAAATTGAAGGCTATAAGTGTTTGGTGGAGGAAGGACCAACTGAGTTTCTCATAAGCTTTTTCAAAATCTATCTTTAAAATCATGTCCCCAGTTTGACCTTTTTTATTTCTTAGAAAGTATGCAATCTCTTGGGTGATGATAATATTGCTAATGGGTCTGAACTGAGACACCATTGTGGGATTCTCAATTTTGGGCCTTTTGAATGCCCTCAAGCTTTGCCAAAATATGCCTTTTAAAGATAGATTTTGTTCTATTCCTGAGCATCAAGGGCTAGAGTCTTAGTTGCTTCCAGGAGAGAGTTACTAGATTTTTGCCAAGCAAGAGAAACTTCTTCTTTAAAGTTTTCATTCATAGTCCATGCTACTTCAAGATGAAATGGCTTAGCAGTAGTAGGGTTTCGTGATATGCCCGAACAGTGAATAAACAGAGGACAATGACCCGAACTTGTTTTGGGGAGGTTTTGGACCCTGGCTTCTAGGAAAGTACGAATGAAGTTGTCCATTCAGCATTTGCCAGTGCTCTGTCAAGTCGCAGGAGGGTTTGGGTTTTCCACTGGATAGCAAAATTTTAAACAAATAAAATAAAAAAAGAAACACAAGTCCACACATGATTATTTTTTGCACTTAAACAAATTCAACTAATATTTTTTTATTAAATTATAAAAATATGAATTATATATGTAATCAAATTACATAATAAATCAGGCGTCGGAGAATTAATACTTAATTCAAATTTGCTAAACTTAGTTATTGATCTATTCTAATCCATATTTGAGTACCGAATCGGCCATTAATTTAGTTAGACATCTCTCACAAAAAAAAAAAAAAAAGGATATTCGAACATAATTTCATTAAAAATTTCATTACAATTTTTAAGAATCAAGTTATAATTTTTATAGGCCAAGTTACAACTGATTAAATGGTGTTCATGATCGATCATTTATTACCTTAAGAAATTATAAGTTCATTTTTAAAAAATGTAACTTAACATCAAAAAATATTAACTTTCGATACAGTATCAATTTTAGCATTACCCTAAATATGTAACGTTATTCAAAGTAAATACCAGTCTATACTTGACCAATATTGCCAAAAATAGGGCCCATATTCAAGAGGTTGACATGAGCTTAGCATAAGACGCAAAAAAGTCTCGAAAAATAAAGCTGACTTTGAAACTAAAGTAAAATGGAAAACTGTTTTGGAGCTAAGTAGGTTTGTGAAATCCACTAATGAAAGATTCTTGATACCAAAGAAAAGTGAGAAAATCTCCTCAATAGAGCCTTGACAAAGCCAGGAGAGCCAATAATTATGGCTACCCATACTAATACAATCTTTTTGTCTTTTCAGAAAAAAAATAGGTTAAGTCTAATTTGAAACTCTTGCACAACTCTAACCCAAATTTTGACGTCTAATATAATGAGCCAGCATATATATATATATATAATTTGCATCATTATATAGAGCATGTATTCCTTGATATGGACGGATTTGTATATAGAGCATATGTTATTTGCTTTATCATGATCGGTCCTAATTTGTGTATGATGTCATACCATGTGACGGATTGGTTTACAGCATGATCGGTCATGCTTTATCATGGCCGATTTTGATTGGTAAAGCAATAAAAATGATTAATCAGGATCGGTCATGATAAAGTATGACATATCTTGATTTTCTTACGGGATCAATCAAGTTTGGTTATGTTTTATTATGACCGGTCTTAATTAGGGTCAATTAGTAGTTATCTAAACCCAAACTCTAACCCGACAAACCCCCAATCCTTTAATTAACCTTTTAATATTACATAGATTAAGGTGCACATTTGGTGAAAGAGTTGATTGTTATTTATTGCACCCAATAAGACGAGCACAGTACCAAACAAAGAGAAGATCGCTCCTCGTCCATTCGGAAAGATTGAGCTCATCAGAGAGGGCCGGAACTGGTTAGTTGGCATTCTACTACCAACAAGCAGCAAACTCCTTGCGACTCTAATGGATCAAAACCCAAAAATAAATACCATCACCAAAGTTTTCATGCACAGAAGGGAACGTTAGGGTCATTTTTACGAAATAGCTAGAGAATAGGGTTATCAAGATACTTTATGTAATAATTGCCTCAACTACTAAAGACAATAAACATTTGCGATTCTGTATCTATCACAGGAAGATATCCTATAACATGATGAATTTTTATGTACTTGAGTATATTTTGATGAGATAAGGTGAAAAGAGCTTAAACTTCGAGAGGGCAACGAACTAGGGCAGTACTGTTGAAAAAGTTTGGGCTTTACGCCCATTTTTAAGAAGGTCTCAAATTTTTAAGCAATGTTATAATGACCAAATTTTATAACTCAAATCAATGTAAGTGATTAGATTAGTGAGATTCATTAACTCTACAAAATATACGTAGAATTTTGACACATCACTTGTGATACAAGATTTGATAAACATATTTTGACAGCAGAGTTTTATACATATTTTAAGCCCTATAAAAAGGTGTTATAAAAAATATTTGAGATTGCACTCAATCAATCCCCATAAATATGGCCATATAGTTATGACTTGAGATGCAAAAAATTTAAGATAAATTGATAAATTTGGGTGGTTTAAACTTTGTTATCCCTTATTATATAGTTCTAGATTCGACTAAAAATGTTTTATTTATGATATGAATCCATCACATGTAATTGACTATATATTTCCAGTATAAATGAATTGGTTGAATAAATTTTTCACAACCAACCCTAACTATAAATATTACATTGTAGGTTATTGTATTCAAAATTAATTGGACCAGACTGCAGAATCGATTGGGACATCGTTCAGAAAATAAGTGTACGTGTATATATGCCAGGAAGTGTGCTAAATGTCAGATGAGATGAAAACAACAATATGAATGGTTTACTCTAGCCGAAGGGTTGGGACTACGTCCACTATAAGAGAAACTCTCACTTCTTGGGAATTGTATTACTTGGGGAAAAAGATTGCTACTATAAGATATTGCTTTGGCTGAAAGCCTTTTACAGAGTATTGCCTAGGTCTGCTAGGTAGTTTTTCTCCTATCTATCTATGTGGTATTGTTAGCTATTTATACATCCGATCGGTAGGGTTTTGTGGTGATTCTTTTATTGGCTTATTTTGTAGCCCCCTCTATGCTTGTCATGTTGTTGGATCTACTATTTCTGATGCTTGCCTGTGTCCACTACGCATTGTCTGGAATACGTGAACCATCTCCACTACCAGTAAATATTCGTTTATCAAGATTGTCAAGTATTGTTCCCTTGTCCCCTATTCACGTATCATGTTGCAGCTCTTGCAAATAGTCTGGTGCCGTACTCCCATTTTCTGAGCTGATACCTATACTGAGTTTCCCGATGTCAAGCTGCCACCAATATCAAGTTGGTTTGTTGTGGGCTTCTATGGAGCTGGGCTGCAGTCCAGTTCAAACCTAATAAATGCTATTTGGATGAGGCACTTGAGTCGTCTTAAGTGTGCCCAAAAGGTTTTGGGCTTTGGAGGAAACCAAGATTTAAATCCATCATCATCAGTAAAATATATTGATAACCTTATATTCGCCAAACCTTTTTTTTTCCCCAAACTTGAATTTCGTTTAATATATTTTTTCTTAATTTTTGTTAATGATCTACTTATTAAGAAAAATTGAAAAAAATATATAATTTACTAGAGAGACACAGATTCCATTTCTTTCCCAAGCTTTCGTATTTCTCAAAGATAAGACCTTGAGAAGTTGCAAAGTCAGGATGAGGCCATTCCATCGAGTTGATCAAGCTTCTTAGTGATGTGCTTTTATTTTTACGATACGAAAAACTTTTTATAACTTTTCACTTCAATATTAAAACTATCACCGAAAATGAATGATAAAAAAAAAAGATTAAAACTTGTAGCCAATTACAGGGGTTGGGCTTATCATATCTTTTGATATGAATGTCTTTATATTCATAATATTATTATCAATATGTATCAAATCATTAGTTCTCGTTGATGTTTTACTTCTTAAAATAATTGATAAAGCAAGAATAAGTCGGTGGTATATGAAAAAGCCCATTGGTGGCTCAAAATTCCAGAAATTGGGGATGATTGACGCTGTGACAATTTCCAACTGCGTGGTCATAAATTCGAGTCTCCAGCGTGTTTTATGTTTCTATAATATATATTATAGAAACCTAATTATTGTAATTTAGCCCTTACACAGACCAGACAAGCTTACAGAACCACCTACTGTGTGTGAAGATGCAACAATTGCATTCTGATAAGCACAAAGTCACATGATATAAAACACTTGTTTTTCCAACTTTGAACAGAGTATTGTAACAATAATGAAGACCTAAGAAACAACTACTATAGCAAACCTCAGACCATGATGTGAACCTGCTATCAAATTCCTAAAATTATATACAACTTGAGCTTTCTACTGGGAACATTACTTCGTAGTCGATCTCTACGAAGCAGCGTTCCTACGATGTCAGAACAGTTCCAAACAAATTCAAGGTCGTTTGAGAACTTGTTTCCCAATCTTCGTATCAAGGCCTCCAACCTCTTCTACCAGAAGGTTGGGATGGAAGTTTGACATCAGCTGAACTGGAAAGAGGCCTAAAGAGTGGTTTAGAATTGAACCTCATTAACAGATTCGGACCACTTGGAAACGGTTTGTGTTGTGGTGCCTTCATATTTGTCGATGTTGGACAATGAAATGCACGAGGGAATGCTTGGGAGGAAAATGGTGGACGTGTTGCAGTTGTGGATGGAGATGAGAGTAGAGGTCGTCGAGGGCCTGGAGATATGTTTTGGAAAACTGAGATGGATATTTCAGAGGAAAAAGCTGCTGATGGTTTGATTTCTTCTCCCAGTGATATCTTGTGGGGGTCTGGGGGGCACCATTCAGGCATGTCATCATCATCATCGAAAAGATTCTTCTTCTGAGGCAATTCATTAAATGAATCCTTTGATGAGGCCAATGCAGCAGCACTTACTGATGTTGGAGTCACTTTGCTTTGGACACCCACATTGTCTTGCAAATTGCGGAAAGCAGGGATCTGGGACTCACGCTCACTAACCCCTTTCGGTGGAGGCATTCCTTGGCTGGTAACTGAAGGAATCCTGGAAAGAATAGAACTATCCAATCTTTGTCTGGAAACAGGAATCGACTGTACAACAGGCATACTTGGCGGTCCTGATGCATTAATATTCTTAATTCCTTCATCTGGAAGTTGTTTGCCAAGCATAGCAGCATCCAAAGGCTTGCTCCTTAGAGTTAGAGAAATCCCACATGCAGTATTGAAGTCAAATTCAGGCAGATCATCATCATCAGTGGGCATTGTTGGTTTCCGTACATCAGATGGGAGAGAAATGACTGTTTGCTTGAGTTCCAAACTTGGTTTAAGTTGCTCTGCTCCTGAACAGTGGATAGGAGTAGCTTCAACTTCCAACAGGTGCCCACGGGTACCTTGACGAGGTGAGTGAGATTGTGCGGAGGTTTGTCGCTCCATTGGAACATAAGAGGACTTGCTGGGGACCGAAGAAGTTGGCGAGGAATTAACGCCAGAGGAAAAATTACGTACATCAATGTGGGTTTCACTAGCCTCAATATTCTTGTTTGCAGCAACATTCCCCTCTGCACTTCCAAGAGATGGAACATATGTTACTGGTGCAAGGGGAAGGGATTCCTGAGTTGGTGGGCCAGGAGACAAACTTTTTTCTGCCACTTGCTGGGTGGAAGAGTCAGAAGGGGATTTCAAAGGCTGCTCTGGCAAGGAGTTGTCCTTAATCTCAGATGTTTTTGCACCAGTATTCGAAGAGGTTCGATTTTTCCGCCACACCACACAACCAATCAATGAGTCTTGGTTGTCTTCAACAGCTGTCATGCCCTTGAAGAAACCATATTTTGCAAGAATTGTGATAATGGCTTCGCTCCGAGGACAGATATATAAATCAACACCCGGTGCAAGTTGTGCAAACCCAACCCTCTTCCCTTTCTGGTATCCTTTCGCAACCTGATAATGTGAACATGAAGTACAAGTTTAAGTATGATTTACTAGACAGGACAATCAGTATTTGCATAATCATTTTGTAAGAAGAGTCCTAATGCTGCTAATTTTAATATTCAATTAATTTACACTCACTTCTTTCATGCCCTCAAGTCCAGTTGCAGAAGATCCCTCCTTCCAGCAAAGTGAAATTACCTGAAGAAAACGTCCGTATAATCATTTAGCACTTGGATTCAGAACAGAGCTTTTTTAAAAGTTTGCAACAGCCCTAAAAACTTCATCTGTGCATAAAATTTTCAAGAGTCACAACAAGCATAAAATTTTTCAAGAGTCGCAACACTTACGACATGGACAGCTTCACAAGTTAAAGCATGCCTCCTACTCAGAAGTTGCATTACAAGTAAATCTGACAGAAGGATTTTCCAAAATAAGCATCCTGACATTCATCACCTACCACACAAAACTTGGTGTCACAAAATTGGCTCTTGTAGAAAGATATCATTGTCCTCTGTCAAAATTGACAATAGCAAGTTCCATAGTCTCTTATGCCAGCTCATTGCATCGCCATTTTCACCAAACAAACAATGATTTCACAGAGATTCTTTATTCCCTGACTACACGATATGAGCAAAAAGGTTTACATTTTTTTCCAGGCTACCTTCAAAAACTAATCTGCTTTCCTCCATTTAATCCAAATTACAATTGGTTGCTTTGGATATTCAGCATCACCTCATCAAAATTTCCAATGACATTATGCAACGAAGGATCAAGAGCCTCAACAGGAAGAAAAACTATACCAACAATAGTCAGGATTCACAAACTCCATTTCAAATAAATCCTCAGTTAAGAATGATATGAATCCTTTCCAAAAGAAGCATCAGCTCAGAAAAATTCCCCTGCACACCTACATATCCTATTCATGGCAAGCTTTTGGCAGGAATGATCAGACTGCTTAAAAGAAGGTGGCATTCTTGGGGAGCATCTTGTAAAGCCAAAGAGCCCCCACAACAAGATACAACTGCTGGGAAGGCCTTTGCCTTAAAATTTCCATTACCCCAACTCATAGAGAAGCATTGTGAACAAAAAAATCAATATTTGCAATATAATCTGTCTCACTCTCTCTCTCTCTCTCTCTCTCTCTCTCTCTAGGTGCTTCTAGGGCTAGATTGGTTAAATATCAGCCACTGCAAGATAAATAAAATATACCAAAACTTACGCCAGCTTCCACAAGCAACCCCTTAATCTAAATCTTACACAATGCAATTTGGCATTAGAATGCTTAAGAAACTATCCCAAATTGGTAGCACAATAGGTTAAAATCGAATATGCTCAACATTTAGAGTGCATACTATAAAATCCCAAGTCCTCCAACTGAAATCAGATTCAACATATCATACCAAATTTCCAAATCCAACCACATATGCAAGTTTGCCATCTGCGTTCCCAAATTGGCAAGATAACATTGGCCTGGAGATGCTGCTAACATTTATAGCTCAATAAATTTACTCAACTATTCTCTACAATGTTGTCTGACATCTCTTTGTTCCCAAGATTATCAACAATCATTCTTTCTTCTCACAATTAGAACCTCATGATCTTGTTTTCAGCTGCTTCATATCGATGACAAAGCAGGCAAAAAAGTTCTATTAAAAGTCATGGGCATGCCTCAGACCCTTTAGGCAGCTAAGGCCTTCAGCAGTTTCACACTAGGCAAGGAGGTGAAAGCCAATAAGAATCAGCCTTTTTCATACGAATAAGATGAACTTCTCCAGAAAGCACTAACACGTCATCTAAACTACATTTTACCCTCATGTCTGGTTAATATAGCAGTTCACACACTAGCCTACAAATCAGTTATCAACTACCTGTCCTATCATATTGCATTTAGTAACAAGTCTTAAAAAGTTCATGAATGCTTACATCTTTGACTTTGGAACTGGCCCTAATATGTTCTAATTAATTCTTGTTCCACATCTTAGAGGCATCATATCCTTTCATCCCTTTATGACCTTAGTTTTGGAACTTATGATTTTATGCAGCACACTGTTACTATGAACTTTTAAGACATTTCATTTCTCCTTTTTCCAATGTACCAACCATCATTTTCTGTTGGATCATAAGAGAAATTGCTGTCATACACATTAGCCTTCTTTTGTGGCCATGTCCAAACCTTCACCTCCATTATGCATGCTAGCTTTTCCCTGTGGGAGAGTTCATGATGCACATCATCTGTGATCTTTCCTCAGCAGGACTATGATCAGAAATCAATTATATTGGTGAATACGATAAGTGAAATGGCATCTTGAGCACAAACTATGAAATTGAGAGGAACTTTTGTATAGAAGAAACCATATTGCGACCAGATTGAAAAACATAACTGAAGGGCATCAATTAGGACTTGGTTCTCATAATCATAAGAAATGAGTTAAGACTAATTAAGTTATGGGTGTTCTCCATCACAAAATGAGATGTTTTCAGAATGGCAATGAGTCACATTTCTATTTATGTTTTAACCCTTTAAAAAAAATGATTTTCAAGTTAAAAATATATATGACAACCGAAAAGAATTAACTGAAATTTTAAGGGAATTTCTTTTGAAAAATGGAGCAACTACATTGGTGCAAGCAAATACCCGAATAATACCATGATAACTTGAGATTGGACATCATTTCCCAAATAAACTTTATTAACTTCACTTACAAAGCTATATTATGAAGTCTAGAATTGATTTATTCATTTTCTTTCACGAGAAGCATTTGTCGAGTTCAATATGTAAGCAAGAAAGTTGATTGGATTGCTTCAGACTATTTGATCAACTAGATTGCCAGGATGAAATTGATGCATTGTTGGAAGAAGATTAGCATAGAATTTTGGTTTGCATCTGGACTAATTGGTGCTATAAATGGGATCAGGCTTAGATGACAAACATGGACTTGTTTTAGAAGCAGTAGTAAGATAGCCCTACATATTTTGCAAAGCTTTGCAGGATAAGGGTCATTATTCACTTTCTTAATTAACAGTAAAGTACTGTCTGTCAAGTGCAATTTTGTGGTTAAAATATGAGAGCAGTTATTTGGTTCACAAATGTCATATGTTAGGTTTGTAGTTAGTTTACCCCTTTCAATGTCTTGTGTAAGTGGAATCACACAGGAATTATCTTTTCGTGCTACCAGATTCAGATGTAGAGTCCTATATTCATGACAGCAAAATTTTGTCTTCGCTAGTGGAATATTATATGTGAACTCATTTTACCTCCAGATGAGGAACTATGCACTCTTTTCCTTCGAAGGCTGCGTGGACAGGTTTTCTTTTTTTTTTTTTTTTTTTAATTTACCTCAAAATTTTCGTACGTACAACAGTTCTGGAAGCCATCTTGATCGCAGGAAAAATTGGAGATGAAGTAAGAGAAAATCTATCTAAATTGGTGTAATTTGTGCAAGGGAGCAGAAAAGTATGGGAGTTAGTTATTGCCTGATTGTGGTGTGACCATAGTTGTTAATATCGTACAATACACGATAGGTATTGTACAATACGCTTCGATACATGAAGAAAACGATACGTATCGCTTAAGTTCATTGGATTTGCACCGTATTGTACAATACAATAAGATGATACATATGAGTCATACGATACGAGGGAAACATATCAATTTTTATTTTTATTTTTGAATTTTAACCGGAAAACATTGCCTATTCACATGGAAGTATATTTTTTAAACACTAGATAGTAAAATGACATTGTTTCAATTTCTAGGGTCTAAAAAGTAAAAGTCTTCTTTTGTTATTCCTTCCATCGCAAGTGCAATAATTTGATTGTTAAAAATGTCCTTTTCTGGCTCCTCTAGATGTTAGAACTAGAACTCTCAAAATTTTGATATTGATGTTATGTTAGTAACTTTAATACTTAGATTGGTATTTTATTGTTTTAATCCTTGTAGTCTCTTTAATAATTTAGTTTATGTGAGAAATTGGTGGTGCAATGAAATGTTATTATGACCTTTTTCATAGGTATTTTGTATTTTTAAAATCTTTTTTATACATTGTACGTATCTTACAATATATAATATGTAATACACGATTTTGAAAAACAATACACCTTTTGATACACGTTTTGACAACCTTGGATGTGGCTTCTATATTTTGCTTCTTTTCAATTACCAAGTTATGATTTAATTGGGACAAGCCTAATGGAATTATGTTCCATCTGGTGTATATGGTGAGAAGTAATAGGTTGGTCTTCTACAGTGTGGAAAATCTAAAGTTAATAAGGTGCAATGATTGCCTTTTTTTGCTTGATGGTATCCGTTATGTTGTTTTCCCCAAGTACATAGTCAATACATCTGTTTTGATTTTGGCTGAAATCTTTAGAGCATGTGGGTTATGTGTACACCATTGATGCCTTGAATACACCAAGTGTACTTACATTGAAACCCCTTTGTTTGGCACTATAAATGGATTAATTTGGCAAGAAAATAAAAATATTAGGGTGCAGCTAGGTCGATGGTAAATTCCAATTGTTATAGAAGAAATATGATGTTTCCCAACGTTACAGTTTTTATCAAGCATACAGAAGTGAAATTAAGTTTGGAGGCCAACACATTGGCCTACAATGAACACCTGGTTTACCTCTGTAGTTGAATATTAAT